AATTTGGGTTACCCCTTGTTGGGGAGTGATCCCCTGAGAGGTTTTGAGATTAATGTAAATACCATGACTTCGGGGGGGGAAAGGGGATGCCCGTACCGAGTAAGGATCCGGCCGGTCCAGAGGTGGAGCTGGGGCCTTTTTTGAGGAGGTTTGTTTGACGGGTTGGAGGAGGTCGGAGCCTCCACTAGTGTTTCCTTGAACAATACTATTTTCTAGACTTGGGCGCCGGGGGATTGGTGCAGGGTGGGGGTGGAGAGGGCCAAGGTCATCGAGGGTTCTTGAACATCAGTTGGGGGATAAGAGGCGCTTTCACGAGATGGTGCGGAAGTTGAGGGAGAGGAAGAAGCGGAATAGCATGAGGACGAGGCGGGGCGACGAGGATGAGGATGAGGAGGAGGAGGAGGGGGAGGAGGAAGAGGAGAGGTATGATACTGGGGAGCTGCTTCCGTATATGGGGAAGACGTGCTTGGATCTCGAGGTTCCGGTGTTGAATGGAAAGGGGGAGGGGGAGGGGGAGGTGTCGGGGTTGAGGGTGATGTGGAAGATTGAGTTCGACTGGACGGGGGAGGCGAGGAGTGATATTGGGGTTTTGGTGGGGATGCCGGGGAAGTGTGAGTTCTCTTTTTTTCTTCTCCTGCGAATGTCGACTAGTGACTGACAAAATATCACAGGGCGTAAACATGACGAAAGGGGGCAATTGTCTGGGATACCGAGGCTGTTTGACGAGCTTGTACAGGGAGGTGAAGATCCTCTTATCGCTGTACGGACGGTGGTGTCTCTGCTTGCTGGGGAGCAGACATCATGAGAGCAGGAGACAGCACCAGAGCTGTGTTGGTCCCAGAAACACACATGTATTTATCAGCATCTTGTAGCATGAAATGATAGCTCGTGACATGCCTTATCTGCGACGCACCTTCCGCTATCACAGCTGCTCCCACGTATAAGTACTAGCATCCCGCACCTTCCCCCACCGAACAAGACTCCCAACCCGGCTCTCGCCAAATGGCGTAGCAGTATTGGGAGTCGCGGCGCCGACCTAGGTAAGGCCCTACAATGTAGGTACCAAGGGGCGTTCGTTCGAGTCTTTGTCAAAGTAAAACCTTTCGGGGTTTTTCGTAACCAAGCCTGGGAGGGAGGCTTGGTGAGCTTTTTGCCTTCTTGGATCTCACAATACTTTTTGTATTATCATCTTTTTCATTTTCCTATCTCTTCCCATCCGCCCCCCGCCCCCCAACACCCGTATCCTTTTATCTGTAGTCGCCACATTTTAATCAACATCCACCCCCCTAACCCTCAAATCCGCCTTGGCCAGCTTAATCTCCTCCATCAACTCGGCGTACGCCTCGGGCGTGTCCTTGAAGGTGAGCATGCCCCATCCCAACCGGAAGAGCAGCCAGGCGCCAAACGTGACGAGGGACCAGAAGGGGAGCTTGTTATTTACTTTGTTAACCCACCACCACCACCACCCACCGCACATTATAACCCAAAAAAGGGGTGGGGGGACTCACCACATGGATAATCTCGTCCTGAACAACAGCTGGTAAGGGGATCAAGCCCAAGTAGAGGGAGAGGTAGAGCTATTCCACCACACAATTTATCAGCAATCGTTTATGGGACTGGCAAGGTCGTGTGAGCGAACCGAAGTCACCAACAAGGCGAGGGAGATGGTCTGCTGGGCGCGCGTCATTGTTTTCGTTTTGAAAGGAAAGTTGTTGCTTGATGGTTGGTGGAGACTCGTAAGATGAAGGAGGGTAGAAAATGGAAATCTGGAATTAGAGAGGGAACTGTTAGTTGATTGGAATTGGGAGGATTGACTGGAACGGGGAGACATGCCAAAATGAGCGCGCGGGTTGGGGTGGTGGTGATTGTCTGTCGTCGTTGAATTGCAAAGGGACACTTTGGAGGCTGGTGGTCCGTCCGGCGCGCAAGCAGTTGCACACCGTGGCGCGTCAGGGGTGATACAAGGGTGCACCGACCAGGGGGTAATTATTGTGGGGCCGGGTTTAGAACTTGGGAAGGGGGAAAGTGTGGGGGTTAGGGTTATGTGTCATGCTCTTCTTCTCTACGGCCGTTGAATAAACGGTACTCCAGAGAAGAGCAATAGAAAGATAAGGCACGCCTCAGCCGCAAAGCTTACCCTCCCCATCCCCCTTCAAGCCGGGTAGACAAGCCAGACAAACCAGCCCAGACAGAAGGTAATGATACACAATTAAATACACTCCCTACACACCGCCACCACCCAGTAGAAACAACCCTCAAGAAATGGTATCAAACATACTCGGCCCCAGAAAAGAAAAAAGAGAGCCCTAGCGAATAATAACCTACAAGAAACAGCAAACCGCGAGTCAGAAGCGAAGAAACAAGAAAAACCTCGCAGCCCAGAGTTAAAAATAATATCCCACCAAACCCCCCACCGGAAAAAACACCCCCATCAGAAACCACACAACAGAAAACCACTTGAACCCTCCAAACAGTCAATCAACCTCCTCCCCCGCCCCCTCCCCCCTAGCCGCCTCCCCTATCTCCGCAACCGGCACCCGCCCCCTCAACCACCGCAGCGTAGCCTCCGTCCCCCTCTCCAGCACACTCCACTTCGGCACCCTAAACCGATTCCCGCTCACCTCCAACCTCTCCAGCACACCCCCCAGCAACCCAATCCTCGGATTCAAATGCGCAATATCATTATTACTAGCATCCACAACCCTCATCCCCGTAATCGACTCCGGCTCCAGCTCCACCAGGTGATTATTCGAAATGTGCAGCACCACCAACTCGGGAAACGCATCCCTCAGCGTCGTCCCCGGCGGCAGACACGAGATCCGGTTGAAGCTCACATCGACCTTTTCCAGATTCGGCGCCATCAGATGGGCGACCAGTGGGCCTAAACCGGTAATGTGGTTGTGCGAGAGGTTGAGTTCCTTCAGAGCTGGGAGCTCAATCTTTTCGTTGCCGCTGGCGCCTCCCAGGTAGGATTCCCGGACCAGCTGGTTGTGAGCCAGCGACAGCGCAGTCATCGTCTCGGCAAAAAAGGTCAGGGATTCCGGGAGGCAGGTAAACAGGTTGTGGTGGAGCTGGATTTCCTTGACTTGGTTGCTGGCCGCAACCTTGGAGCTGATGAGGGGGTGCAGAGAGGATGACTCGGTGTTGGACCGGTCCAAAACGCCGCCGGGCTTAACGGGCCACATTTGTCCGGTGATGGTTTGCGATCGTGATCGAGCAGGGGACGCCGGCGCGGACGTTGGCGGGGTCGCAAAATCGTCCATATCGGAGCGACTGTCGTCAGCGTCGTCGTGGGAGGCAACAGGCCCCGTCACCTGCGGGACAGGCGTCTCTTCCGCACCATCAGTTTGAGCTGGCTGGGTTTGGGGTTCAACCCGAGGTGCGGCTTGGAGTTCAGGTTGAGGTTCGATTTGAGGTTCAGGCTGAAGTTCAGGTTGAGCCTCGGCTGGGGGTTCAGGGTGAGCTTCGACGTGGGGTTCAGGCTGTGGTTCAAGCTGAGGTTCGGGCTGCATCTCAAAATCTGTGGGCGGCTCGAGTCTCTGAGCAAGTATCTCCTTCATCTCCTCGGTGCTCATGGTACTGAACTTCTTCTCTCGCAAAGGGTTACCACTCAGCCGAAGCATGGCAAGACTCTCCATCTGGCCAATCTCGGCAGGGATGACCCGAATGTCATTGCTAGAAAAGTCAACAGAGCGAAGCTGAGACAGCTTGGTGAATCCTTCAGGGATAGCATTGATGCTGTTCTCGTCAGCCGCAATGGTATGCAAAGCGGCCCAGTTCCCAATGTCGGGAAGCGACTGTAGGCGATTCATCGAAACACACAGCTGGTGTAAAGCAGGCATGGCAATCGAGCGACCCGTCGAGCAAATATGCGCCAGTTGGTTGGAAGAAACATCCAATATCTGAAGGGTTGGAAGCGATTGCACCGGCTCTTCCACGAGTGTGCCGCGCAGCTGGTTCTTGCGTGCAATTAGCTCTGTCAGGGGCAAGGCCGCAAGCATCTCGAAAGGCAGAGTCTCGAACCCGTTCTCGCCAATGTTGAGAATCCTAAGACGAGAAAGGCTGCCAAAGTTGGTAGGCAATGATGCAATGTTGTTGCCATGAAGATCCAAAATTTCAAGGTTCTTCAAGTCGGAGAGGCAAGGTTCAAGTGGCCCGTACAAAAGGTTGCCACCGAGTTTCAGGTCGCGCAGAGAGGTGATCTGAGATATAACCTCGAGCGAGTTGTTCGCCAGTCGGTTGACAGACTTTGAATGGTCGTCAGTAAAGGACCAAGTGATATCTCGACTGCATTGTGCAAACTTACCAGATTGAGCGAAGTGAGCAACGATAGGCGTCTCAACCCCATCGGCAAGGAAATGAGCATGTTTCCATGCAAGTCCAATGTCTCCAGTCCCAAAAAGATATTTCCTTGGCTATCCTCATCATCCGCAAATTCCTGGGGGTCGACATCTGGGAACACAGATTCGGCAATCATCTCCAGCTCGTTGTCAGCAGCAACAAACCTGGTGAGATCAACACTCTCGGCCCAGGCACCGCCAGATTGTCCAACCAACTCAAGATTGTACATGTTGAGAACGTCAGCTGGGATTTCTCGAAGACCCATGGCGGCAATGTTGAGCCGACCACTGGTCCTCGCTGTCTCCAGCCGGCTTCGCAGCACCTTTTCCTGCGATTTATCATCACGGTGCTGATTGAAGGGGTCATGGTGTAAGCCAAAGTCAAAGCTGTTGTCAGTCGGCACCAGAGGAGGCTCCTCAGGTAGACTACTTCCAAGCTCAGAAAATGCTTGCTGTGAAGCAGCAGCTCGCTTCGCCGCCTTTGCCTTGGCGATTTGCTCACGCAGAGCGGACGAAGCTTTGCGGTATGCTTGTCCGGGGGTGGAATCTCCGGAATCTGCTGTGAGTGCAGTGCTTCCTGATACAACCGAGCCGCCAGACAGGTGCGTCCCCTCGTTTGAAGTGGCCGAAGACATTTGCGATGCTGAAGAGGCTTTTCTAGTTGTCTCAGTTGGCGGCTGTTTGCGGAGTGCAGGTGTGGACGGTTTCTTCATCAGCCCATTCACTGATTGCCGTTTCCTCAAACCGGTAGCCACGGTCTTTGCGCCAAACCGTGATACGGCAACATCCGGGGCCTGCTTCTCAGGGCTGGGCGTGCGAGTGCGAGGGAAGGAAATGGTGGATGGGGACTTGATCTCATAAACCGAAGTCCGGACACCCTTTGATGGTGTCTTGACAGAGTGTAGCTGGAATGATTGAATGCTTCTCCTGCCACGTAGGGGTATGCTCTCAACAGTGGAGACGGTCGTCTGATAGGTGGCAATTCGTGATCCGAAGGTTGATGTTACCGGAGAATCCAAGCCCACGCGAGAGCCTGGTCTGCTGCCGCGTGAATGGCCACTTGAACCCTCAGACTGGTGACTCGATCCGGGCCGAGAGGACCGACTCCCAGGTCGTGACGGCGACTGTCTGCCGTTACCAGTGACATCGAAGAAGGATGCCGCAGCTTTTCCTTTGACCGAGGGCGAGGAGGGTAGACGAGACAAGGTTTCCATGGTTCTCTCGAAAAGCGAAGGTCGTAGCTTTGCTGAATCGGGGGGAGACTCCAACTCAACATCATCTCCAACATATTCCACAGTTACAGTATGTTCGGGTTCCTCGATCAGCGGCTCGTCGACCGTAGCGGCAGAAATCCACTGCTGAGAAGGCTGACGTTTTGGGGCACGGGAAGTTGAGGTCGAGCGTGTGGACTGGTTCGCGGGCTGTCCTCCTGGTTTCAGCAGCCTCATGGGTTGGGGGGTGAAGCCTGGGTTGGCCTTGTACGCGGCATTCCTAGCATTTCCAGACGTGTGTGAAAGCGATGTCCTGGTATGGGGTGATGATACGGAGCGAACGGGAACAGGTGAGCTGGCTGCCGTCGCCAATTGATCGCGAGAGGCGGCGGTCCTGAGCTTTGGATTGCGTAGTTGTCCGGTGGTGGTACTGGGTTTCAGGGATTCCCGCGAGGGCGATGTTCGTACAGAATTAGATCGCGGTACAGGAAGCTTGGATGTGGATGTTGTTTGGCCAGGAACAGGTATTTTGGAGAGCCTAGGAATGCCGGTCGGCTTGGTCTGTCGTGGCTCCTCCATGGCGAGGTGTGTGTGGTGCTGTTGGAACTTGGAGCTTGCTTGGCCGCTGGGGTGGGTATCGGAAAAGTCAATGGCAGGAATGACGGGACAAGCATCGAACCGTCAACGCACAGGTTCCCGCTGGTGGTGTCTTGTGCGTCAATGCAAGTTGGGAGCCGGCGTGTTGACGGCGCAAAGTCAGATACCACGACCCATGCAAGAGTTGGCGAGATAGGGGCAATTGGTAAGCAGAAACGATGGGCAGCAAATGAAGGTGGAAGAAGAAGTCGGGAGATTAGAAAAATGTGTGCGTAGTAGGTAGCAACTCTAGTCTTTTGCAGAACAGAAAAGAAAGAAGAGAAAAAAAAAACCGAACGGCGCTGGCAAGATGCGGATCAGCAACAAGATTGCTCTGGAATCGCCTGAAGAAGAATCCCAGAAAATGCATGAGCGGGAAGTCGGGAGCCAGTTCACGCGGCCCCCCTTCCGGAGGCTCGTGCACCGCGTCTCGCCTCATTTAGCGCGAACCCGATGCTGCGGTTGCCAAGTGCTGTCAGGGGCAGGGTGGGGAAAACAAA